ATGCCAGCCAGCCCCGCCCCCTGGTGGGCTGAGCTGGTCACTCACACACACACACACACACACACACACATAAATAAATAAAAAAATTAAAAGAAAAAGAAAGAAAATAAAAAAAAAAAAAGAAAAAGAAAATTCACCATTTAAAAAAAAAAAAAATTAACCAATGGCATAGCCAATGGCCTGAACAGAAGCAGAAAATGGTCAGCTAGGCTGATAACAAATATGACAACTCCCAGAAACTATGACATCAGACTATTACAAAACTAACTAGAGTCACCATCAAACAGAGGCCAGTTTCTAAGTCACAAAGCCAACATGGTCTAGGGTAGCCCCACCTTTATTAGAGTGTGCAGCACACTGCTTCCTTTTCCACCAGACAAAGTGACACAAAATAAAAAGATCTCACTCAGATGAGAAAATCTGTGTGCACCAACTATGCCTCACTCTGTGAGGTCCCTGGTGTGGCTGCCTGCACCTACTGGACACAGCCCTTCAGCATGTTAATGGAAGCAGATCAGGAGTGGAAGAGGTCCCAGGTACCATCAAGACTGAGGAAGGGAAGATGGAGAAGTTGGATAAGGGAGAGGGCTTACCCCGACACTCGTGCCCTGTGCGGATATTGATGCAGTCCACTGGCATATGGACTTTATCCTCAACACTCTGTCGTGTCTGATCATCATAATAGATCAAGTGACCATCTGACCATAGGTCAAACCAATTCTTCTTCCAGCGCTTCAAAATAGTGCCTATAAAAATGGGAAAGGTTAGCTGTGGGTTGCAAGATTTGTCCTCTAACTCAATTCAAGCAAAAAATGAAACTTCCTTGAGCCTCTAAGCAAACTTACACAAGACCACCACCACCTGAAGCATCAGTGTAAGTGGAAATGCAAGCAGACACCTGGGCCTGACCAGCGCTACAGTTGGCAGGGATGCAGCCATCACGCTGCAAGAGAGTAAAGGCTGCCAACCGAAGGAAAGTCCCAATAACACACAGAAAGTTAGGCTTTAAAAGAAAAGGCTGGACCAGGGAGATAGCTCAGAATAAGAGCTTGCCTGGCAAGCACAAGGGCCTGAGTGAGTTCAATCCTTGGTTCCGGAAAAAAAAAAAAAAAAAAAGGCTAACTTTTAAGCTAATGAAAGAAGTGTAATATCTGGGGATTGAACTACAGCAACCTGAGCCTGACTGCTTTGTTGAAACAGGCACTTAAAGAGCGGAGCTAAGGGGCAGGCCCCCAGCAGTGTAATATCTAATTTCCCACATCTGTGTGGGGAACTAACCTGTTTTGTTTTGTGCAGTACTAAGGACTGAACCTAGGAGTGCTCTACTACAAACCTACTAGTCCTTTTTATTTTTTTTTAATTTTATTTATTTATGGGGGGGGTGGGAGGGGTGTGGCCAGCTCAGCCCACCAGGGGGCGGGGCTGGCTGGCATGTGGTGCTGGGGGATTGAACCGCGGTCCCTGTGCTTTGCTAAGCTTGTTC